CGGGGCACGGGAGCCCCCCACCTGCCGGGAGACAACACGCCCCGCCCACCAAACAGCAGAGGCGGCACGCCCCTTCCCGCCTCGCCCCCAGCCCCCCCACCTTCTGGTAGACGAAGCGCGCCCGCTGGCCCCGGCCAGCCGCCTCGTCCCGCCACTCGCGGAGCCAACGCACGAAGAGCGGGTTGGCGCAGGCGGGCAGCGGCCGCTTCCTGCCCAGGCGGGGCGCGGGCGCGGCCATAGTCCGGTCCCGGCTCGGGCCGCTCCGATTCGGGTTTGAGCCGAGCTCCAGGCGCCCGGGCTGGGGGCGGGGCCTCAGTCCCCTCCCCGCGTCTCACGTGACCCGAGGCCCCGCCCTGGCTCTCGGGCTTCGCGGGGACTGAGGATGCAGACGCACGCCCCAGCCCACGAATGGTTGCTTCTGAACGCTGAGCTTCTCACGCAGCTGCTCCCCCCCCCCGCTTCCGGCTGTAAGTATTTGGGCTCTTCCTACCGGGGCACGCGGGAGTCGACGCCCCACCCCTTCCGCATTCTGGCAGTTAGGGGAAAGGAAGGGCTAAGGAGTGCTGCGCGGGGATGGGAAAACGGGAACAGCGCCTCCTGTGGCCAGGAGGGTGGAAAAAACCGCTCTAACCCTGTTTCTATTGCCGTGGATGTACACTGAGGATGGGTTCCTCCAGGGGGCGTGCAGAAGGGACTGAACCTAGAAAAGCAGAGGAGGAGACTGGAGCTCTGGAGATAAAGCCTGGAGAATTCACAAAGGGGACTGGAGCTAGGGAGATATGCAGAGGGGGCTACATCCCTACGGATGTAGGGGACTGGCTAGAGCCCGGGGGATGTCCAGCGGGGGCTCCATAGTGCCCGGGAAATCCGCAGAGGGAACTGGCTAGAGCCCGGAATATTTGGGAACTCCCAGGATAGAGTCCGGGGAGTGTGCAGAGGGGACTAGAACCCGGGCGGGGGGCGTGCAGAGGGAGCTGGAAGAGACCGCCCGACTCCAGGCTTTGCATTCAATACAAGGCGACAGGGGCAGGGACAGAGCTCAGCGGCCAGGCCGGCTGCCCCCTGGCCAGGGCTCCCTCCCTGAAGCCTTCGCTAGCCCTCTGCCCGCCCTTCTGCAGTTTCCATATTAGGCTCAGTTTCCATATAAGGCGCGGTGAACGGGCGCTCTCCTTGGCTCCGCCCCATCCCGGCTCATGCCCTAATAAGGCGATCTGGGACATCCCAGAGCGGCAGGCGAGCGAGTGGGTAGGGGCTCGTCTCTAGGGCGACTGCGAAGCCCGCGCCCCCTCCCCTCCCACAGGAAAGCGACGGGGCGAGCCTGCCTAGCGACCCCAGAACTCGGCTGCTGGGAATTGCGGTCTCAGCCCTAGCTGGTGCGACCTTGCCTTAGGCTTGCCTTTTGTTGGTTCGAGTTTTGCACCCGCCTGCATCTCCCTAGCTGAATGGCCCTGGACGGACGATTTCCTTTGCTTTGGGCCTCAGCTTTACCATCTGTAAAATGGAAGGCTTTGGATGCTTTCTGTTAACAATTCCGAAAATCTTAGCCATCCACATATCCGAGTGAATGACACTGGGGCACGATTCCTCCTACTCCCATACCCACAGTAACCCTTCATGCGTGGCGTCCCCCCACCCCGCCTTGGCCTCCGGGTGGGTCGGGTTTGCGGAGCCACGCACGGATCAGCCCATGGCCGGCTGCGAGCATTGAGGCTGCCGGCCCCCCAAAGGGGAAAAGGACTTCATGTGGAAGTCCAGGTTCTTTGGTCTGCTGCTTCCTCTCTCTGCCTCAGTTTCTCCGTCAGCCGTATATGGTGCCCAGCTCCTGACAATGAGAACTGAGCCACTCCGGGCCTCAGTTTTCCTCTCTGCAAAATGGGGAATGAAGCTGTGGTTCCTTCGTCAGCTGTGAGGTTATAGGATTAAGATCCAAGGACCCGGGCTACCGGCCTCTAGCCCCGGGAACCCGAAGCAGGCGTCTGCTGCGCTGCGGAGGCCAGGACGTTGACCAATGGAGGAGCGCTCCCAGCGCTCCTGGCCCCGCCCCTCTCCGCCCGGGGGCCGAACGCTACAGCTCGACTTGCACCCGAGCGAGGCTGGGGGAGACTCCACTTCCCGGCGTGCCCCGGGGCGGGGCAGCGCCTCCGAACTCCATTTCCCGTCGGCCCCGTCCCGGAGCGCCGGAAGCTCGCCCCGCCTCTCATTGTGCGGCTTCTACTAAACGGAAGGGGCCGGGAGAGGCCGCGTTCAGTCGGCTCCAGGCAGCGGCGGCGAAGGAGCGAGTCCTTCCTCTCCTGTGGCCCTCGTTTTCCTCCCTCTCCCTCCCTCCCTCGTTCGCTCGCTCCTTTCCGGAACCATGGTGAGCGCGGACCAGAGAGCTCCGTGGGGGACCGGCGCCCGGGAGCGGGGGTGGTGGAGGCGGTGCAGCGGGCGGGGCGGTGTCCTCATCCTCCTCTCCATCTTCCCCCTCCATCCTCCCCATCCCTCCCCCTCCCCCTCCTGGGGCGCCGCGGGCGAGACGGGCGGCTGGCTGATGGAGGGGCTCGCGGCTAGTCGGGCGGGTAGCCGGGCGGGCGTGCGCGCGCCGGCGCCCCCCACGCGCGCCCTCGTCTGACGTTGACGGTTGTTGGGCGAAGCGGGCGCGCGCGACCCTCCCCCCTCCCAACCGTTAAGTGTTCGGAAGAGGGGGGGGTTAGGGGCGCGCACGGCCCCTGTACCCGGGGGCGTCGCGCATGCGCGCTTCTCCGAGGGCCGAAGCAAAATGAGGGGCAGTTGGGGAGGGGGAGGAAGGGAAAGGGAGGGGGCGCGCGCTCGGCCCAGAGCACGCGGCTCCGCAGCTGGAGGAGGGCGGGGTATCAGGCACTGCGTGATGTGGGGCGGCCTGGCCCTTACCAGGCGAGGTTGAGCCTTCTCCGCCGACCCTGCTGGGGGGGCTCCGAGGCTAGGGCCCAGTTTGGGGAAGTGGGTCCGGAAGGGGGGAGTCTGTGGCCGGCCGGGGCCGGACCCCTCCCCCCTTCCTGAGGGGTGGCCGTGCTTGTCTTCCTCGGGCAGGTCCCCTCCCCTCCCCTGCCACTCAGGAAGCGGCAGCGCAGTCACGCTTCTCGCCTGCTTCCTCGGGGCCTTTTCGGTAGTGGGGTGAAAGCCTCCCCCCTTCCCTGCTTCTGCTGGGGTGGGGCGTTAGAGCAGGACCCCCCAGGCTCGAGGATCCACATGGTGGACGGTTGTCTAAAAGGTGGGGGGCGCAGGGGGCTCCGTCCCGGCGTTCCTGGCCCTTTTCTCCACATTCCCTTTGGGGCAGGTGTTCCAGCGGGGGGGGGGGGGGGGGAAGGCGGCGGGCAGTGTAGATGAGGTGATCTCTGGGGCTCTTATCAGCCCTAAATCTGTGGTCCCTTAGGGCAGTAACTACCGGAATAGCTAGTTCTCCCTGTCCCTCCCTAGCTAGGACCAGAAGGGGCTGTGGTCCTGGGGTCTTGGGACCGGGATCCAGGCTTTCCCCGGATGGCCAGGCCGGGGGTTCCCCGGGTCAGGACCTCCTTGCATGGGTGTGAGCCAGTGAATTTCAGTCAGCACTGAAGCCTTAAGAGTTCTGGTGATCTGCCCACATTCCTTTGTGTCTCTGAGGTAGTAGGGTCAGGGAGAAGGCAGCTGGACTTGAGAGTCAGGAAGACCTGAGTTCAAATCTTTTTGACCTTGGCTAGTTTTTGCTTCTGGGCAAGTCATCTGGTCTCTGTTTACTTATTTGTAAAATGGGGACTAGAGCACCTCTACCTCTGCATCGGTGTAGGGCTGTGAAAGTCACTTTGCAAACCGTGAAGTATCCTCCTCTGATTACTAAGCAGATGGCTTTTCCTCTGAGCCTGATGGGAAGGAGCCCAGAGAGCTCCCCTCTCCCTCACCGGGCTCTCGGTGCCCACAGGCCTCTGGAGTGGCTGTCTCAGATGGGGTGATCAAGGTCTTCAACGACATGAAGGTTCGCAAGTCCTCGACACCCGAGGAGGTGAAGAAGCGTAAGAAGGCTGTGTTGTTCTGCCTGAGCGAGGATAAGAAGAACATTGTTCTGGAGGAGGGCAAGGAGATCCTCGTGGGGGACGTGGGGCAGACTGTGGACGACCCCTACACCACTTTTGTCAAGATGCTGCCCGACAAGGACTGCCGCTACGCGCTCTATGACGCTACCTACGAGACCAAGGAGAGCAAGAAGGAGGACCTGGTGTTCATCTTCTGGTGAGGCTGGGGTGCCAGGCTTGCAGGGACTAGCTCATCCCCCTGCCCCGGGCAGGTGCCGGCCAGTGGGGGGCTTTCTGATCCTTGTCTCTCTTGCCAGGGCCCCCGAGTGTGCCCCCCTCAAGAGCAAAATGATCTATGCGAGCTCCAAGGACGCTATCAAGAAGAAACTGACAGGTGTGTGTGTGCGCGCGCGCGTGTGTGAGAGATGGCATTTCCCATAGCGTGACCCTCTTTGGCGCGCAAGGCTGAATTTCGTTGGGTCTGAAGAACTGGGTGAGGAGCCTGACTCTGACCGTGGTGGGACCTTGGAAACTCGAGGTTGGGTTTTTAATCTGTAAAGTGGGGGTGGGTCTGACCCTTCCTTGGCTCTGACCCCCATCTCCTTTCCTCCTCACAGGAATCAAACACGAATTACAAGCCAACTGTTACGAGGAAGTGAAGGACCGCTGCACCCTGGCTGAGAAGCTGGGGGGCAATGCCGTGATCTCCCTGGAGGGGAAGCCCTTGTGAGTCTCCCAACTCTGGCCCCCTGCTGGGGCTGCCCGAGCCCAGTGGGGGAGCAGGCTGCCCCCTTCCTGCCAGACCCAAGGGGCTGGGGGGGATCCTAGCAGGGGCAGGGCAATCCCTTCACCCATTTGCCAAACCGCCCCCGACCCCTGACCTCCCCCACTTCCCCCGATGGCTCTGGCCTTCCCAAGCCGCCTTTGATATTCATTCCTCTTGAGTTGTAGCAGACCAAGGTCCCCCCAGACACCCAGATGGGGGGGAGGCCAGTATTTTTTTTTTAACTGACACCCCTAGTTTTCCCCCTTCCCCGGTGCTGCCAACTTCTAACCGCAATAGTGGCTTTGTGCTCGTTGTTTAGTTTTGTGTATAAATGGAATGTTGTGGAGACCCCCTCCCCCATACAGCCAGCTCCCCTACCCCCAGTTACTCATGTGGCCAGTAAAAGGAAAGTTCAATTTAAAAAAAAAAAGACAAATAAAGAAAAGGTGAGCTGCTCTGCAGGTGGTTGTTTTCTGGGCAGGGTGGGGGGTGGGACAAAGCAAAGCACGGCAGGGCAGGCTCCCTTTGCCCGTCTCTCCCCCGAGTTCTGGCCGAGCTATCGCCTGGGCCCCTTTGATCAGTGCCTTCTAGCTGCAGGACAGCCCTTTTCTCGGGGTCTTAACTGCAGCCCTGGCCTAGGCCAGGCTCCTCCTGAGCCTTCTCCCGGTTCTTGGGGGAGGCCCTGGCTTGGGCTCTTCTCCCTTGAGCCAGGCCGAGCAGGAGCTCTGCCAGATAAGCCCGCTGTGGGTGCAGCCAGCTTCAGAGGGAGCACGCGACATGCAGGATCCATAGCAGGCACCTTTATTTCCGTTAGTGGAGGCAGGACGCCGCTGGCCTCCGTAGGTCTGAGGCCGTCTTTCTCTGGAAGCCCCCTTGCTTGGCCTGGTCATGGCCTCTGCCAAGTGTTGTGGCCCCTTCCCCAGGCGTTGGGTGGGGAAGGCTGGGGCTGGGCTTCAGGAGCAGGCCAGGGAGGGAGGAGAGGATGCTAGGGCTCTCCCTTGAGGGCAGTGAGGGTGTTTCTTAGAAGGAGCGTACTGGCCTGGGGAAGAGAAAATGGGGTGGGGGGCAGTGTTCCATGCTCCTTCTCTCAGCTCCCTAACTTGAGGATTGAGTGGCAGATGAGATGTCCTCATCACCCTGGCCATGAGGACTCCAAGAGACGTTTTACAGAGGAGGAAACTGAGGCCAAGTGTCTTAGAGACAGCATGATATTGGCATGTGCTGACACCCCTTTGTCTGACATTATGCGCCTCCGTTTCGTCCTCTGTAAGATGGCAGTTGTACCTACGGTTGGCCTCTCCCAGGGCTGGACTTGAGACAAGTGAAGTGGCAAAAGGCCTTTTGTGCCATTTTGAAAGCACTTGGTGAATGTCCATGGGGGGTAGCCCCTGGGGCAGCCTGAGGCCCTACTCTTTCCTCTCTTGGGGTGAGGGCAGAGGTGCCCTTACCTTAGCATGTTTGAGTTCCAGTTCAGCCAACTCAATGAGGTTCTTTCGGAAAGCAGATCCCCGGCGAGCCTTAAAGTCTGTGAGCTCTGAGCCAGAGAATACAAGAGCGTTGGGCTGCGCTGCTGGGGGCTGTGCTGGCGCAGGGTGTGGGGCGCTTCACTCACCCTGCCTGGCTGAGTCCGACAGGTGCTCAAAGCGCCGGCAGCAGAGCTGCTGGTGGGTCTCTGCCGACCGAACCTCCCGGTTTCTCATTCGGGCTTTGTCCAGGGCCTTATTGGCGTTCTCGTAGTCTGCCAGCGCTCTCAGCCGCCGGTACAGCAGGTCCTGCAGGGAGATGGGCAGGAATAGACGGGTCACAAAGGCTTGGGATGCCGTTGCTGCTGCGTGTGGGCAGCTGGCTTGGAAACAGCTCTCACCTTGGCTGCCTGTGCATCCCTCATGTAGTAATGGAGCATGTCTGACAGTTTGAGGTCCTCATCCGAGGCTACTCGGCCCTCCAGTTTCTGTGAGGACAGACAGACAAGGAAAGGAGGGACAGGCACATGTTGGGGTCTCCCCTGGCTAGTGCACAGGGTAACCCTTGGCCCTGGCTGGGATGCTCTGCGGGGGGGGGGGGCATCTCTGTGCCATAGGATGTTCACTGAGGTACTTGGAACATGGTTCCTTCTTACCCCAAAATGGCAGCATGCCCCCTGACCAGCACTGGAATGCCACAGCCCCCACAAACACTTGATTTCTGAACCTTGGGCAAATGTCCGCCATCTCCCCAACTTTCAAGCCAGGCCCTGTGCTGTGCAGCCCCCCCCCTTTTCCCACCACTAATGAGAGGTGGACAGATCTCTGAACCTCCGTGAAGAAGCCAAGCCAAAAGCAGGAAGGGCTTCTCACCCTCAGACGTTCAAATAGTTCAGCCAATTTGAGAAAGCTCCTAGGAGGAAGAGAGAGACAGGCCCTAGCTGAGGTGCCCCAACGCCTGCCTTCTAGACGAAGGCATCCTCTGGGGCTGGGACTGCGCACGCCCTCCCCCGCACCTAGCCTCGGGGACAGCGAAGGGCACAGAGGGGGAAGGGGCCTGGCAGTGGGGAGGGGGTGTCTCACGTCTTTAGCTGGTGTACTTCCTGTGTGCCCAGACTGCTCAGCGCGGCAGAGACGGGGATGTAATCCTCAGCCAGGCCTGTTAGGGACATGTCCACCATCAGAGCCTCCTGGTCCACACTTCTGGTCCAGTAGAGGGTCTTTGGCCAGGGCGGGAAGTGGGCAAAGACCACTGGATTGTGGAGGGAGGAGTTCTAGTCCCTTCTGTGGCACTAACCATCTGCATGAGCCTGGGCAGGTACCCCATGTCTGTTACTTCATCAGGTTGGGGGAAGGTGTCCCCCTTTGTTTCTTCCAAGGTTGGGGTGGGGCAATGGGGCTGGCAGGTCCTTTTGGGGGGGTCCCCCACAAGTCCCCACGTACACTTGTGGGAGCGCATGACCCGGTCCACACGCAGGCAGGCATCCCGGATGCGAGTGTGATACTCCAACAAGAAGGTCCTCTCGTGCTCAAAGAATTCGTCCACCTCCTAGGATGGAGGGGAAGGGGCTGCTGGGGTCACCAAGGAGAGGACAAAAGGCAGGTGGAGGCTGAAGACTCAGAGGCCTCTGATATAGGGCCCCAGGGGATCTCTGAGGTGAGGCCCTCGGCTGGAAGGGACCTTAGAGGCCCAGTCCTCTCTTTCCAGAGAGGCCCTGGTAAAGCAGCTTAGCCAGGATCCCACTGGGAATTACCCAACTGTGGCCCCCAACCTTGTGCTCTCTCAATTCACCGAATGCTGGGGGTCTGGGACCCCCCTCACCTTCAGTCCTGACACACCAGTAATGAGAGCCTCGTCTGCTGACTTCACAATGTTCCTGATAAACCCGCCAAACAGTTCCTTCTTATTCTTCCCACGAACGCTCAGCTGGGACAAAGGCAAGAGGGGTTGGGGTGGTCCTTGGCCAAGGCCTTGGCAGCCTCCTCTCTGCTGGCTGCTTCTCCATGCCCACCCCGGGGCAGGCCCAGCGGGTGACCTCAGGCCTTCCCCAATCCAACTCACATCTTGGCCATATTCCAAGAAGACATACAAGTTGTGGTCCCGCCGGAGGGTAGGATGGGCAGCCAGGCGCTGCAGGAATACTTCATGCATGGCTACTGTCTTCTTAAAGATGGCCAAATACTCCCTGGGGGAAGGAAATGCCCATTTATGTAGTGTGCTAGGCCCTGTGTGAGTGCTTTTACAAATATTTCATTCTATCCTCACAACAACTCTGAGATGTGGGGGCTGCTGTTAACTCCATTTTACAGTTGAAACTGAGGCAAACAGGTTAGTGACTTGCCCAAGGTCACACAGTATTTGGGGCTGTATTTGAACTCAGGTCCAATTCCAGGCCCAACACCCTATGTTCACTTTGCCACCAGCTGCCCCACTTTTTCTGAAGGGAAAGGTAGAGTGAGGGGTAACGCCCTCTCCTACTCCCACCCTCACACACTTTGTAGGCCAGGCTCTTGAAAGTGGACATGGATTTAGAGAGGCGGAGAAATAGGAGAAAGTAAGATCTATCTATCTTATCTATCTGTCTGTCTGTCTGTCTATGTATGTGTGTATGCGTGTGTATATATACACACACATATATACGTACACACATCTCCCTTTCTCCCAACAGTCTCAGGGGTAAGAGGTGGTGTGGCATCATGCAGGAAACCCTGGAGTCTGGGTGGTGGAAGCCTGGGCTGATTCCTTGTCCTCCCCAGACCCTTACCACAATTTGATCAAGTGACTTAATCTATTTTGGTCTCAGTTTCTGCACCTTCAAAATGGGGGCTTTTTTCAGTTGTTTTGCAGTTACACCCAACTCTTTGTGACCCCATGTGGGGTTTTCTTGGCAAAGACACTAGAGTAGTTGACCTTTCCTTCTCCAGCTCATTTTACAGAAAAGGAAACTGAGGCAAACAGAGTGAAGTGACTTGCCCAGGGTCACACAGCTAGTGAGTGTCTGAGGCCAGATTTGAACTCAGGTCCTCCTGACTCCAGGCTGGGTGCTCAAACCACTGCGCCACCCAGCTTCCCCCAAATGGGGTGAGTAGGGCTTTATTACCCACTTCCCAAGGTGGTTATGAGGAAAGTGCTTTGTAAAGAGACCTCTTCTCCTATCATTACCCTCATGGTTAATTAAAAGGGTCAGTCAATATGCCCCAAAGGAAGAGTGGGGCCATCTCCCATGGAGTGTAAGCTTCATTCTTTGTAGGTGTCTTCCCAAAGCCTCACAGCTACTCCTAAGTGCAAAGGACCTGAGAGGACCCTGAGTCTAACACCCTTATTTTACAGAGCGAGTAACTGAGGCCCAGCGAAGGGAAAGGTGAATGTTGGAGGAGATAAGAACCCAGGTCTTTCTGCCTCCAGAGCCAGCATGCTCCCCATCCCTCCACTGCACTGTCTTGTGTGGGAGCCCTGGGAAGGGGAGGGCAGGGCAGGGCAGGAGTGGGAAGGTGTCTACAGGAGGGGATGAACCATACTGGGGGGGGGGGGCCTCACCCCTCGAGCTCTTGTTTCATTTTAGCAAACTCTTCTCTGGTGACGGAGCTGTCACCTTCCCCCAGCCTTTGCAGCTTTTCCCGGGAAGCTTCAAAGTCTGGCTTGGGGGGGTGCTGGGGGTATCTGCTCAAAACAGAAGCTGAGAAGTCTACCTCTCCTGGGATTCCAAGGATCCCAGAGCCCCCCACCCCTTCCCACTCCTCCCAGCTGCAGACAGTAACTAAGCCTGCCCGATCCCCCAAGGCTGCTCTGGTCCTCACAATGATGCCCGCGTAGTCTTCGTTGTCTGTGTATGCATCGTGAAGCCAGATGAATTCCTCATGTTGCCGAACTACAGAGAACTCAGTCTGGCTGAAGTGTGGCAGGCAGCTCTGAAAGGGAAGGACACCCCCTGACGTCCCCTCAGGACCAGCAAACCCTGTTCACACCCTCCCACCACACAGTCTCCAACACCCTCAGCCAAACCTCACACCTCCTCCTCCCCTGTGTTCTGCTCTGGGACACTTCCTACAATCCTTGTCGGGCTCAGGGCCAAAGTGGAAAGAGCCAGGGGCTGAGGGCCAGAAACCTGGGGTTTGATAGGATGGCAGGCACAGAAGCTAGCTGGAAGCTAGAAATGGACAGAATTTGCTTTCGAGCACAGGTGTCTGTGGTGGGGAGAGGGGGCCTCCAGTCCCTGTGGAATTTTGTTTGTGGGTGGGGTCCAGTACTGGTCTGGAGTCTCTGGACCCCCGAATAAGTTTGTGATGTAGTGATGGAGGCTGGAGACTCTGTATAGGGAAATGTCGACCTCACCTTGGTATGAACTGTGAATTTCACTTTGTCCCTCTCGCTGACTGCATCAGAGATCTCTACCTGCAAGGCACCATCTCCCTGCAGATCCATGGACACAGAGCAGGGCTGTGGAGGGGGAGACGGTGAGTGGGGGCCCTAGCATGGCCCAGCTGCCCTTGTCTCCCCTCCTAGCCTGTGGGAGTCCTCCCAGAAAAGCACCAAGGAGTCAACTTGGGCCTAGGAGGGCCCTCGGAGAAGATTTCCAAATGGGCCCTTGGCCACAGTCACCTGAGTGGTGCATGCTGGGATATGACCCCGGATCTTGTCACCAAATCTAGGGCTCTTTCCACTGTCCTATTCTCAATCTCGACACCCCCAGGAGCCCAGAGCATCTTCAGCTGCCCCTGTCCCAGTCACTCATCAGGCCCCAAGTCCCTAGCAGTGATTGGAGAGTATCCCTCCTCTTCAGAAGGGGGCAGGAAACCATTCCATTGTCTTTTGTTTTTTATGTGAGGCAACTGGGGTTAAGTGACTTGCCCAGAGTCACACAGCTAGTGAGTGCTATGTGTCTGAGGTCACATTTGAACTCGGGTCCTCCTGACTCCAAGGCCAGAGCTCTGTCTACTGTGCCACCTAGCTGCACCCCGCCTCCATTGTCTTTTAATACCATCAAGACTCCCCTTCACTCAGCCCTTCAGGAGGTATGCTGGCCATCCATCCATCCACAAGCGGGCTTTCAGGCAGGGTCTGGGGAGATCTGGATCCTAGCGCTGGGCCTGGGATCCAGGAATGAATTCTGCCCCTTGGATCTATTAGTTCTGTGACCATAGTTTCTTCATGGTATTGTTCACCTTACATGATCAAGGTGAGGCTCCCCAACATAAGAGGTCAAAGTGCAGAGCATATTGAAAGAGCTACTTAAATCTGGGGCAGGCCCCTTTCCATCTCAGTCTCCTCATTTGTAAAATGGGCATGATAAGCCTCAGACCCACCAGCCTCTGGAAGGTTTTCATGAGGATCTGTGTCTGTGAATTTGCTTTGGAACCAACCATAAAGGGGGGCAAGGATGTGTGGCATTCTTTCTTCTTCCTTCAAGCCCTCTTCAGAAGAGGGAACCCAGGCTATGGGGGAAGGGAGCACCCTTGGCCTGGGGGCAGCTGCCCTCTTCCCCTCCCCTTCACTGCAGCCCCAATCTGGAACTCCTAGCTCTTCCCCTTCCCCTTCTTCCAAGCTCCTCAAGGGAAGAAATGATTTTATTTCTGTCTATGGATATGAAGTGCTTGGCACAGAGTAGATCATCGATTAATGAATGCTCACTGATTTAGGAAAATGTTCTGATTACCTAATTCCACTAGCTAAGGTGTTTGTTAGCAACTCAGGGAGCAGCCTGGAGAAGGATGCTCAGCCCAGGGGACTAACTCTCTAATGGCAGTACTTCAGGCAGGGGGCTACACTTCAACAAATAATAAGGTACACACACTTAAGCAGTGACCCCTTCACATGTGTACACACACACACACACACACACACACACACACATTGTCCTTCTGTAGAATAGAAGCCCCTTGACTCCAGGGGCTGTTTTCATTTTTTGGCTTTGTGCTCCCCAGAACCTACTACAGTGGCATGCACAGAGTAGGCCTTCACTAAGTGCTACTTGGATTTGACTTGTTTAAATCAAATCGAATTCCACATCCTGTTTCCCATCCAGGTCCCTGGGTGCAGTTTCTTTCTCCTCCTGGGCACTGCCTCTTTTCACTTGGTCTCCCCAATTTCTTCTGTTCTGAGAACATTTTTGTCCTCTCCAGCCATCAGGAGATTGCCCCTCTCCTGACCTTCTTCCTCTGCCTCACCATCCTGAGTCTCTTGTCTGTCCTTCCCCTGACTGGCCCTAGAAGTCTCGGTCCCCAGAGACCAGCTCTCAGCCATAGCTCTTTGCCAGCTCTATGTCAAATAAGCACACACACACACACACACACACACACACACACAGTGCTGGGATCTACTGTTGGGAGATAGGAACAACTCCTGCCTGAGGGGAGGCAGAAGAGGTGGGTGGGGAGGGTCTCCTCTGGGCGTCTCCCTCTTAGTCCAGGTTACTCAGTCCAGGGATTTCCATCAGAGGATATAACTGATTCTTCCTGGGTCTTGCCCGGAGTGGGTGGGGGGAGGAGGAGGAGCAAAGGACTTGGAGCCAGAGATGTGGTGTCCGAACCCTGGCTCTGCTAATTTCTTCTTGCCTGACCTTGGACATGCCCCGGCCCACTCTCTGAGCCTCAATTTTCTCATCTGTAAACTGAACTTGTCCTGGGTGACAGCCAAGGTCCTCTGTGCCTGCCCTTTGGAGAGAGCTGCCCTTGCCTTCACTCTCCCATCTGCAGGTCCCACTTCCATCCATCCATCCATCCATCCACCCATCCACCCACTCATCCATCCATCCACCCATCCATCCACCCACTCATCCATCCATCCACCCACCCATCCATCCACTCATCCATCCATCCATCCATCCATCCATCCACCCACTCATCCACCCATCCACCCACCCATCCATCTACCCATCCATCCACCCATCCATCCATCCATCCATCCACTCATCAACCCATCCATCCATCCATCCATCCATCCATCCCGTTACCTGGCGCTCCTCCCCTGGGTCGGGATTCTCCTCCATCACTGGTCCTCTTGCGCCTCCACTCTTCTGCTCCTACAGGAGGCAAGAAGAGGGCCGGCTTCTAGCCTCCTGGGCGCCTCCTTCGCCCCGACCCCACCCCACCCCTAGGGTACCTTCGCGTGCCCTGCAACCCTCCCGTCCTCCCCTCCTCCCGTCCACCCCAGATGGCCTAATGGAGACTGTCGGGACCTCACAGACCCAGTCTTCCACCCCCGCCCCCGAGGGAGTCCTCTGGAGAGGGAGGCGGAGGCCACCAGGCTCCGCCCCCACCGCGCTCTCTGAATGGATGGAGGGGCCGGCCTCCGTGCTTTCATTCGCTCCTCTGTCTGTCCGTCCCGGCAGCAGGTACCGCCTCGTAAGGGGGGAGTGCGGGAGAGGGCGTGGCTGGAGTCCAAGCGCAAGTCCGGCGGGGCCGACGCAGGCCCCCGCGCAGTTCCCTCCTCTCCCCTCGGCCCACCCCCGGCAGGCTCCGAAAGCTATGCTCCCCACGCCTCGAGGGGGGCTAGACGCCTGGCTGCCCTTCACCGCTCCCTCCTCCTGGCTCACAGCCCCTCCCTGTCTGCCCCGAATACCCCTCCCTGTTCTGTCCCTCTCCTCCCCATGACTCACCCCCTTATCAATGGACAAGCATTAATGAACAGTGCTCAATAAAGCACCTGCTATGGGTCATGCACTCTACTAGGCACTGGGAATGCCCACACGAAACAACGCAAAGGAATCAGCCCCGGTTCTGCAGAACCTCCAGAGCCCACCCCTTGCTCCCCCGCCCCTCTCGGCTCCTTTCTCCCCGCGGCGATCCGAAGGCAGCTGGTGCGCAGGCGCGGGCCCTCCCCTCAGGGTAGGGGTGGGGCGCGGAGCCGGGCTCGAGCTGCTGCGCCTGCGCCGCCCCTCCGCCCGCCGGCCCCACGCCTTAGGGCTAGGGGAGGGGAGGGGAGGGCCGGGAGGGCGGGGGCGAGTCCGCGGGCGGACCAGGGGCGGGACCGGGAGCGCGCTGGGGCGGGTCCGGAGGCGGAGGCGGGGCCGGGGCCGGCCCAGGCCGGGGTCGAGCTTAAGGGGGACCTCGGGCTGGAGGCCGGCCCCGGACCAGACGGCCTGGGTGCGGGTGTGGCCCTGGCCGTGGGGCGGGGAGGCGGAGTCCTGGATGTGGGAGGCGGGACCCACCTGCCGCCATAGCCACTGGCCGCAGCTGACGCTAAGGCGGTGGAGCCTGGCAGTGTGGGGCCGGGGGCTACCGGCGGCGGCGCCCCGGACGCCCCGGCAGAACTGGTGGAGCGTGGAGCTCCGGCAACCGGCCTCGGCCCGGGCGAAGACCAAACCGTCGCCGAGCCCGCGGTCCTCGATGGCCGACCCGGGCCCGGGCCAAGGCCACGCCCACCAGCGCCGCTCCGCTGCAGTGCGAGTGAAGGGCCGCCGCCTGTCCGCCTGGCAGCAGGCCCGGCCGCGGCCGAAGGCTAGCAACCGCGCCCCCGGGCTCGAGTCCAAGGCGTCGGGCTCCAGCTCGCAGTCTTCGTCCTCCAAGATCCGGAAATGCGTGGAGATAATGCACGAGAGGGTGTGGTATAGCTGGGAGCCACTGAAGGTGCAGGGCTACAGCCTGCTGAAGCGCGAAGTCAAGCCCCCGGCGCAGCCAGCAGCCCCGCCACCCCCGCCCGCCTCTAAGAAGCAGGCCAGGGGCCCCGCAGGACGGGAGCCCCGCAAGGACGAGGGGAGCGAGCAACGACGAGAAGTCAGGGCACCAGCCCCTCAGGAGGCGGGGCCTACCTGGGCAGAAAGCGTGCAAACCGCGGGAACTGAAGGCGAGAAGACCCCAGTGGCAGAAGGCAAACAGACTCCGGGAGCAGAAGGGGAGCAGACCCCGGAGGCAGAGAGCGAGAAGACACCAGGGGAAGAAGGCGAACAGACTCCGGCAGCAGAAGGGGAGCAGACCCGGGGGACTGAGGGCGAGAAGACCCCGGGGGCAGAAGGCGAACACACTCCGAGGCCAGAAAGGGAGCAGACCCGGGGGACTGAGGGCGAGAAGACCCCGGGGGCAGAAGGCGAACAGACTCCGGGAGCAGAAGGGGAGCAGACCCGGGGGACTGAGGGCGAGAAGACCCCGGGGGCAGAAGACGAACAAACTCCGAGGACTGAAGGCGAGCAGATCTCGGAATCGGGGGCTGCCGGGGCAGAAGGCGAGCAGACCCCGGGAACTGAAGGCGAGCAGAGCTTGGAAGCGGGGGATGCAGGGGCAGAGGACAAGCAGATCCCAGGGGCAGAAGCCGAGCAGACCCCGGAGGCGGGGGCTGCCGGGGAAGAAGGCGAGAAGGCTCAGGACCAAGGCCAGGGCCAGTTGCTGGAGAGTGCTGAAGCTCCCAGTCAGGAAGAGAAAAGCGCTGAGGACCAGAAGATCGAGATGATCGAGAAAAGGGCTGAGGAAGAAGTTCTAGAGGAAGGAGGGTTGAAATGGAACGAAAAGAATAAATCGTTTTCTTCTGAGGGAGGTAACCTCTCCCAAGGGACCGCAGCTCAACACTCGGAACTAGAATTTGAGGCCACCACAGATAACCCAGCCACCACAGCCTTGGAAGTGAAGCAAGTCTATATGAACCAGAGAGAGTACGAGGAAGAAAGCCCTGTGAGGAGCGATGCCCACGAAATGGTGGCAGGGGAGCAGCTTAGTCAAGGGGCCGAGGAAAAGAAGCAAGCCCCCCAGGGCGCTGATGGAGGAGGAGAGGTGGAGAAGGAGCCTGAGGGAGGATAGATGGCAAGAGACAGAAGAGAGAGAGCAGATGAAGCAGCCAGGGTCATGAAGGAAGGCACTGGGCCAGGAGGGGTGGGGGGAACTTGGACAGAAATATTGGGCTTGGTGGGGGCTTTGCAAGGGAGGAGGTGTGGGGCTCTGGGTCATATTCTCAGAAAGGACACAGAAAGGTGGGGTAGCAGTGCTGATGGACAGTATGGCCCAAAGTGGAGCCAGTCCTTGCCAGGGGGATAATGAGGAGTGGGGGAGCAGGGCTGCAGAAGGCAGCTTCCAGATGGAAATCCTGAAGAATCAGAGTGGAGAATGAAGAAACCTTGAAAAAGATGCCAGACTGAGGTGCCCAGAGTCAATGTGTGTGTATTTAAATATACCTGAAGAAGAAAGACTGAAGAATGAGGTGATGAAAGAAATGAAAGGTGAGGATTAGGAAGCAGAAGCAGCAAGTAAGGGAGGACATTCTGGTACCACCTCTGCCTCTTTCCACCCCCCCGTACTCCCCTTTGGGGCTCCTCCTCTCCCCCACATTGCCAGTGCAGCTGCCTGCTTAGACAAGTCCTTAGCCAGACCCAGGAGCCACCAGGGGCCCAAACAGACCTTCCCCCAGCCTTTTATTTTCAGCACCTTCTCTCTTCCTACAAGTCACTCTTCTGTCAACAAACAAGTGCTAATGGTCCATTGTTTCTGAGATCTTATCTGGCAAAAAAAAAAAGAAGGTTTCTCCTGGTACCTCCTTGCCTTTTCTACCAACCCAAAGCTGGCCTGTGCCCTAAGCTGCCCTTTCTCAGCTCTGTCACTGTCCCCATCTCCCATTGTTACTTCATTGCAGCCAAATGAACTTTCCTCAGTCCCTTTTTTCTCTCCTTCCTTGTGGACCTTATTTTTGTACCTCCTGTTCCCCATCCACATCTTTCTGGGTGCCCTGTCCCATGCTCCCCATCCAGTCCTGGAAGTCGGGGGAAAGGTGGGCATACCTACTCACCCGTTAGACTGAACATGTACTTAAGTAGCAAGAGTTAAAACCACAAGTGCCAACAAGAATGTTTGTCTCTTTTCCCCAGATCACTGCCCTGCTGGGTAGGCAGCCCCAGGATTCTGGGATTCCCTGGCCCTGGAAATGTCGAGCTTTGCTTTTCTGATTGGTTTACCAACTGCCCAATCCAGCATCCTACATCTTGTCCAATGAGCTTTGGAGCCATTGCAGCCAGGAAGGCCACAGGAGGGGAAAGGAGCCTCCAGCAGCCCTTCCAAGCTTTGTAAGTGCCCACAGTGTTCACCCAAGTAACCAAAGTGGCCCTTGGTGCTGCCCCCTGCTGGAATCACCAAAGCAGCACTCTCCCAGGGTGGGAATGATGAGGGCAGTTTGATTCTGGTCCTTGGGATTATCTGAAATGGAAATGACCTGTTTTGCCTTATGTAGGTCTTTCATTATTTTACAAGCGTTTAGTCTGACCTTTCCAAAGCCCTCTCCTTATTCAAATACATTATTCAGAACACAGATCTGCAGTGAAATGTGTTGGAAAGAGAGTTGAGAATCTCAAGTCAAGAGACCAGGGTTCGAGTCCTGCCTTTGCTTCTTTGGAGACATGTGACCTTCCAGTCTCTGGGTCTCAGTTTCCTCCTCTCTAAAATGAGGGCATCGGACCCAAAGCTCTATTTCTCTCTATCTAAGATCCCTGGCCTTGTCAATCTCACATTTCCCTCATGTATGTCCTGATTGACCCATGCCCCTCTAACACCAGGCTTCTTCACCTTGGGCAGTCTGCCAGGGAACGCCTTTAAGTACACAAAATAAAACGCACAGGACTACAATTATAAGTACAGAATTATTTGGGAAACCAAGCCAATCAAAAGACAGTGGGCCAAATAGAAAAGAGCCTCAGTTCACGGTTGGACTAAGCAGGTAAAGCCTCCTGCTGTGTGGGGCATCCATGGCTTCCTGGCCCTCATGGGTGGGAGACTTCTTGATGGTGGCTTAAGACAGGGTCTGTCCTTTAGTGCCCAGGCTGCTGGTCATGGTGTGGTAGATGGGTATTGGGAGAAATTATAGGAATATCTCCCCTGTGCCTTATCCCATTTTCTGAATATCTCAGATCAGACACCCTGCGGCTCCTTGTCTGTTTCTAATTCCGTTTTTATTCGATTTCATTGCCTAACAATAATTTGAGCTTTGAATACTGAGAAAAAATGTGTTTATATCCAAACACAAAGTTAATTTGATTGAAAAACAAAAGGAAAGCAATATTTAATATTTTGGTTGAGGTTGAATTTGGTCGAGGCAAGAAATGCTTTTTGCCCAACCTCTTCTCAGTGTTGGCTTTCAGGTTACAGGAGGTAACAGTGTTCACTCCGGCTTTGCAGAGGGTAGGATAGAGCCCACCACGCTTTCTCCTTCCTCCCCCTCTGGGAATTAGAATTCCAAAACAGACAAAACCCTGCCATGTTTACTAGGGTTGATGGCAGCTAGAGAGTGCAGTGTGAGGGCTGAGACCCGATCACTGCTGCCCAGACGCAAAGCCTGAACTGGAAAATGGGCCCCACACAGCCTGAGCCACGATGCTCCCACCTGCCACTGGGGGCGCTGGTATCAAACTCAGCTTTTTGGTTGTGTTGCTGAGACCCAGGTTAAAACAAACGGAAAACAAGCCTCCAGACCAGACCCATCGATTTGTACCTGCCACTTTCCTCTGTTTACTACGTCATGCAGAAAGCCATTTTCAGAACTCTGTGGGGAAGAGTTGGAGAATTGGGAAGAGGCCGACAATATAATTCCAGGCAGTGAAACTTTGTACAGAACAAAATCTGTTGGGAAATTGTCTTTTCTACTCTAGTCGGTGGAATGCTCAGGTAAAGAGGAGCTTGGAGATTTGGAGCTGGAAGCTTTCTCATAGCCAACCCCTTAATTTTGGGGTTTTTTTTTAAATTTTTCATTTAACTTCCTCCTGCTCCCAATTTAAAAGAAAAACCAAACCCTTATAACAAATACCCATAGTCCGGCAAACCATGCCTATGTTACCTATGTCCAAAAATGTGTATTACGTCTTGCATCTTGAATCCAACCCCTTTCTGCAAGGAGGGGTAGGCATGCTGGGCTGCCCCCTGGCCAGTCCTAGGTGCTGGTTATCACCCCTTCCTTCAGGCAGCCCAGATCATAGGACACTAGCTTATTCTTGATAGCAAGACAAAGACGGATGTGCATCTTCATGCCTGCAGCACAGTGGGGATGACGGAAAGGGATACTCCACTGGCATTTCTCCCTCTGAGATGCTGCTCTTTTACCTTTTCCCACACACAGGACAGCCAGAATGGTCTTTGGCCATTTCCCTACTTTGCGTTATCAGTACAGATCTTCAGGATTGGCGTTTCTCATTAACTTTCTATAGTCAGACTTTCCTTTTGGCCATCCACTGTTCATCTCCTACCAGAGTTTGGGAAACTCTCCCCTGGCCTCAAGTCCCCAGGCTGTTGCCCAGAGCGACGTTCTTGGCAGATGACCTCATCCTCTGTGTACAGAAGAGGTCTAGACTACTAGCAGTGTTTCCCCCCATATTTCCACCTCTCCATCTAAAACCATCTCTGAGAAAAATCTCACATTTCAATGGATGTATGACCTTACTGATGTATGGGTCCTTTCTCAGGGCATGCTCACAGATCTTCCATCCTTCTCATCCAGGGTAGTTCTGGTCTGTCTCTTAATGAATCCACAACAGAAGACCCACCCACCATGATGGAGACCTTCTTCTAAGGCAGGTTCTATCTTTATCACTTTTCCTCCCTGACTGCCCCACCACCTTTTCTGAGTACACAGTGCCCTAAGTCTCTTCAAGTCCATTTTATTGAAGGAATAGGCAGACTTCAGGTGATATCCTATAACAGACCATCTCTTTATTGATACTGAGTTGACTGAAAGGTGTCCAGAACACATGGTCCCATTGTCCTTATGTGTTGACTTAGAAAAAGCATTTGGATAGAGCACCGGCCCTGAAGTCAGGAGGACCTGAGTTCAAATCTGGCCTCAGACCAAACACTTGACACTTACTAGCTGTGTGACTCTGGGCAAGTCACTTAATCCCAATTGCAGAAAGAAAGAAAGAAAGAAAGAAAGAAAGAAAGAAAGAAAGAAAGAAAGAGCATTTGAGTAGGCAGAGCAAACACCACCTTGAGGATTCTCATGTATATATCAAAATAATAGAAGATTTCTTGAAAGAAATAACAGAGGGATGACTTGTTTAGACCAGCACAGTGTTAATATCAGATGAGGCAAGAAGCAGGGAGAGGTGTTTGTCATCATCGTGGAGGGAATTCCACCTGGAGTCCCAATGGATAGCGAGGTCCTCCAGGCGCTACAGCTTGTGGATGGCGTCATGCTGATTGCGTCAAGCTCTCAAGCTTTTCAGAGCCTCCTCACCAGAGCAACTCAAGAGTTAAGTCTAACTATTCACAGAGGAAACACCAAGTGAATGAGTAGAAGAAAAATGCTTGTTGTTCACACTGTGTTCAACAGCTGGATGGCCAACCCACAGGCTCCTTCGTAAGCACATGGATATTTGACAAATACCCACAGTGGACAAAGGGGTAGGCCCAGGGTTAACCAGGGGGAGGAGAGCCAGCTGGACTGCCTTAGGGACGTTGTGCAGTACTTTTGACGACAAGCTTCTCCCTCAAAGAAAGGCCTGCTATTTAGGACGTCCAGCAGATGGAAGCTGTGTGACTGCAGGTCAGAGAACAGGTTTCCAGTTGAGGATGACCCAGAGGGCAAGAAAGAGGTGCAGGTGGAGGGGGTGGGAAGAGCAGCCTGGCTGCTACATCCTTAGAAGGGAGGAAAAGGAAAAGGAAGCAGCCTAGAAGATCTTGTTGGAGAAAGGTGGAACAGTCATGGAGTGAGAGGAAAAGCTGAGCCTAGGAAAGCCAATTTGGGGACCCCTGTGTGTGGAGAGCTCCTGGGAGGCCTGGGACACCTGCATTGCCCGGGCTAAGTTGTCATCCGCCTGGCTGGTGGGAGGACTGACCGCCATGGGTAGGACTGAGCACGCCTCTATCGCAGGCTGAGTTTCTGATACGTTTTGTCTGACACAGCAGATGCTTCTCAGCAGACACTGAGACAGCCCTCCCTACAAAGTACTCCCTGAAAAAAAACTGATCAGGTGTTCCCAGAACGAAGGGATACACTCTTTAACCTGGCTAGGTAGGTGGTTATATGTATTTATGGTTTTCCTGTTAGAATGTAAGCTCTCTGCAAAGTGGATAGAGCGCTGGCTCTGGAGACGGGAGGACCTGAGTTTAAATCTGGCCTCAGACGCTTGACACTTACTAGCTGTGTGACCCTGGGCAAGTCACTTCATCCTGATTGCCTCGCCCAAAAAGAAAAAAGACAAGACAAGAATGCACGCTCACAGTTCTGTGTATTGGCATGGAGAGGGCACTTAATAAACACTTACCTACTTTTTGAGTGATGCTCAGGCATCCAGGTAAACTTTCACAAGAACATTTCCTGATGGAGAGAACGGATCTTCACGGTTGAATCAGTGACGAAAAAGTGGCAAGAACACAAGACCTTGGTGTGCTTATTGTGTGCTGATACTTTTAAAAGCTCTGGGCTGGCGAGACACAGTCTAAAGAGTTCCCCCTCTAGGGGGATTCTTCACCTTGGAACCTTGACATTCTCTAGCCTCTACCAAGGGGCTGCCTCTTCTCCTGGCCAGGGCTGACCCCTCTGCTTGCACCCTCAATCCCACCCTCCCCAGTCTCCAAGGAGAGGTCGAGCTGCCCCCTGATCTCCCCTGGCTCTCCATTCTTCTTTCTCCTTTTATTCAGTGGCTCCTTCCCCCGCTGCCTGCCGACAAGCCCAGAACTCCTCTTCCCTGGAGTGGGCCATCCCCTCAAACTATTGTCCTGGAATTCTCTCTTTCACAGCCTTGTTACCTCCGCTTCCTCGCCTGGCACTCACTTCTCTACCCTTGCGATGTCCCAGCACTCTTCTGACTCTGCTCTCCCTGAGGCCACCGTCAGTGCCTCTTTCTAAGTCCACTGGCCTGCTTTCTATTCTTGATCTCTCCTCAGCCTCCAACCCACCATTAAGGACATTCCTTGTTCCCCACGGTCACCCCTGTACTTCTCTCACTCAGCACCCTTACCTCCTATGAAATCCACTTGGTCAAGAAGTTCTACCTAGCACAAATGGCAGTGGCTGCAGTAGCCTGACCCTGTGGCCATCTCCTTCCTTTCTCTAGAGGCGTTCCTGCCCGCCCTCTTTCTT